AGAGAAGAGAAGAGAAGAGAAGAGAAGAGAAGAGAAGAGAAGAGAAGAGAGGAAGGGGAAGGGGAAGGGAGAGAAGAGAGGAAGGGGAAGGGGAGGGGAGAGGAGAGGAGAGAAGGGAAGAGAAGAGAAGAGAAGAGAAGAGAAGAGAAGAGAAGAGAAGAGAACTTAACTTTGGAAGCTGGACAAATACAACCACTAAATCCTGGACCGCATCAGTTCAACATTTTGTGTAAATCCACCTAACAAGCTGTTGGCCGTCACCTTAGATCACTGTTCAGCTTCAGGGAGGTTACATCTGTCAAGAGCCACTAATCTTAATGGAATTGTTTTATCTCCTGTTTGAAAGGCATTGTATTTCTGTGGCTCAGGGTTGACATAACATTGTGCTAATTAACCTGCATCTGTTTTGTTTATGCAAAGGGATTCTTCTCCTTATCCCTTGCTCCTCAGGGCCGAATTGCTCAACCTTCCACCTGCTATTTACATTTGAAGAAGCACAGTGAAAAGAGATATTAACTGCCTTCGTGCGATTAATACCATTTAGGCCTAAATGATCCGTTACTGAGAAGCAACAGGCAGCAGAGAGAGATCTTGCCTGGATTGGACTCTTGCAGACCCCCAAGGGCTACTTAACTATTCTAGAAGATACATCCAAGAAGCAGCTTGGTGTAGTGCTGGATTAGAAAGTAGGAAGCCACAAGAGCTAGTCTTGCTTAAGCACAGAAGCCAGCTGGGTGACTTTGGGCCAGTCCTTCTTTCTTGGCCCTAGGCAGAAGAAGACAATGGCAAACCAGCTTGGCCTAATGGTGGAGGCACCAAGCTAGAAACCAAGAGACCATAAATTCCAGTCCTGCCTTAGCAGCTGGTTGGTTGACTTGAGTTAATCACCAGGGAAAAGTGAGGTCAAGTCCCACCTTAGCCATGAAAACCAACTGGATGATTTTGAATCTCTCTCTCTCTCTCCCTCCCTCCCTCCCTCCCTCTCTCTCTCTCTCTCTCTCTCTCTCTCCTCTCCCTCTCTTCCCAACTCATCTCACAGGGTTGTTGTGGGGAAAATAGGAGGACAAAGCAGTATTTGATATGTCCGTTGCCTTGACTTGTTTATAAAAATAATGACGGAAGGATATAAATTAAATAAACGAACAATCAAAGTGAATAAAATCACCTCCAAAATCTTGCCAAGACAACTGCAGGGACTTATCAAAGAGCTTAGGAGCCCATTGTTGTATTTAAATTAAAATAATCCTAAAAACCAGAAAGGCAAAACATTTAAAAGATGATTTAAAAATCCTGAAAGATTCCTGGGTTCAAGAATCCTAAAACCTTTCATGAGCTCTTATCAATGTCCTTCTTTTTACCCAAATGCTATACTTGATATGTGACATTTATTTATTTGATTTGATTTGATTTGATTTGTCAATTGCTTACAAGATAATAGATATAAGTATATACATAGTTATGAATACATGAAATGGGTACATATAAGAAAAATAAAATAAACAATAGGACAGGGACAGTAGGCACATTGGTGCGCTTATGCACGCCCCCTACAGACCTCTTAGGAAAGGGGTGAGGTCAATAGTAGACAGTCTAAGGTTAAAGTTTTTGGGGTTTGGGGAAGAAACTACAGAGTCAGGTAGAGTATTCCAGACATTGACCACTCTGTTGCTGAAGTCGTATTTCCTGCAATCAAGTTTGGTGCGGTTAACCTTGAGTTTGTATCTATCGTGTGCTCTTCTGTTGTTATGGTTGAAGCTGAAGTATTCATTGACAGGTAGGACATTGCAATGTATGATTTTATATACCATACTTAGATCAGACCGAAGACGGTGTAATTCAAGGTTTTCTAGGTCTAGAATTTCAAGTCTGGTGGCATAAGGTATTCTACAACAAGTAGAAGAGTGTACTTCTCAACATGTCATGCTAAATTCTGAGTGTATTTCTCAACATGTCACGCTAAATTCTCAGATGTTGGTGCCTTGATGGGCTATAACACCAGATGGTTGATCTGCCAGATGAGCTTGCTCTTGTGTAAGTGAGGACCAGGGATTATTTTTTTGTGTGCTGTAATTCCAGACTCTCTCACCCACGCTCAATTTATGTGGAAGGCTATCTCTACCCAACTGTTATGTTTTTTTTTTTACACAAGGTCACTGGTGGAATGGAAAAAGGATGGATTTTTTTTTTAAAAAAGTGAAATGGTAGACTTCTGAAAGGATATTGCTGCTTTCTCCTTCCAGACATAACATCAAATCAAAGTGGAGGAAAAAATGGAAACCCGGAAGAGGTTGCTTTTTTAAAATCCAGCTTTATTTCCAACCAATTTACATATCAAAAATAAACGGTGTAAGCTTTTGGTCCAAAGATACAGTAAAAAGAAATGCTAGTAAGATTTGGATTAACTCCTCAAGGCTCTATTTAAGAGTCCTAGAATTTTAGCTACGCACACTGTATGATTCATCTGGTTAGCTTATTTTGCAGTATGTTTTTTGGAAGCCCAACAAGGGTAATCAAGATTAAAACCATGACTGTGTTTTGAGAACTCTCGAAGACTCTTAGGGCTCCATAAATGGAGTAGAATCTAGGCAGAAATAGAAACGAGGGGTATCCTGAATTATTTCCTACTAGCTAATTTTAAAGGATTTAGAAAAATGTTTCTCAACCTTGGCACCTTTAAGATGGTTGGAATGCAGCCCTCAGGATTCCACAGCCAGAGTGCAAAATCCTTCATTTTCCTACAGGGCTATTAATAAATTCTTTTAATAAAGAGGCAAAAAAAAAATCAGAGAGAGGTTCCATTTTATAGAATTAGCAGCTTGTAGCTCCTTTTTAACTTTTTTTTAAAAAAATGATAAATTAAATAGACGCAATTATATACCTGTCAAATAAACTATATTTTTAAACTTCATGAACCAAACTTTCTTTTATAAGCAAAGCAATCTTTATAGATTGCATTTAATAAAACATTTTTATATCAGTGAAAGCTATTGCATATATGACTAGTTTCCCCAAATTTTATGTTTTTCTAAATGTTGGTCTATTATTTCTGGGAATTTTTTACATCTTTATAACTGATTTTGAAATGCATATGTCATGACTTAAATATCGGGTCTTGTTTTTCAGCTTTCTTACCTTTTCAGCGCTCCCCTATCTGGATAGGGCAAACACCCAGACAACTACTAGTTGACAGCAAAGAGATGTCAAAAACTTTGACATTGTTCCATAGAGAATAGAATAGATTGGAATGGAATGGGAATGGGAGTAGGAATAGTGGAATAAGAGTAGAGTGGAGTGGAATGGAATGGAATAAAGAATCAAGATATGATACCTTTAATAATGCCCATATGAAGAACTTGTTCTTATTTATTTCCCTTTAAAAACTCAATCATTTCTTAAAAATCTATTCCGAAACTTCAGCATAGACAACACTGCCAGCATCCATTGTTGTACTTAAAGTAACTAATCTCATAAACAAGACAGACAAAACATTTAAAAGATGTTCAGATCCTGAAAGATTCTTGAAAGCTTGTGCAAGAATCCTAAAATCTTGCACAAGTTCTCATCACTGTCCCTTTTTTTAAC